TGGTTTATCTCTCTCTAACCAAGGATTGTTCCAATTTACTCTTCCTAATACTAATCCAGTCAACTATGCTATTAGATAATATGATAGTATTTATAATACACACATGTCATCCTTGATTAAAGTCTTTTAACAGTTTCTCAGTTTTAAAGACTGTAGCCTCCAAAGTGGGTATACAAGATATCTCATTGTAATGGAAGAAATGACCAGATTATATATTTGTATTAGTTTAAAATACTTTTTAAATTTCAGATTAATATTAGGGTACCAACGATTAGGTTACAATGTTTGCTTTAGTTAGGCAAGGTCCCTGTTGTAGTTGTGCCCGTGACCCAGAAGGTGTGCCATATGCTTTAACATTGTGCCCTTTAGAGCAGGGGTCCTCAAACTTTTTAAACAGGGGGCCGGTTCACTGTTCCTCAAACTGTCGGAGGGCCGGACTGCGGGCCCCAGAACGAGTCGGCTGCTGAGCAGGACAGGTAGCAGTAGGAAAAACACCTGGCAGGCCGGATAAATGTCCTAGGCAGGCTGTAGTTTGAGGACGCCTGATTTACAGCTTACCAACCCCTTCCCTCCTCCTCTTCTCCTTGAAATTAAATTGAATTTTTCTCTTGTGTGGACATGTATTAGTTCAACTACTGCCTTCATATTAGTATTGAATACATTGGATACTTGCTTTTCTATTCTTGTGATACTTTACTAAAGAGAATATCAGTTTTAAAATTTTAAGCATAACAAAAAATAACTCTTGATTTACTTCTCATGGCATAAAATACACCATGAGGTTAATACAATCTCCTAACATTCTGCCAAAATAAATGTTCCTGTCTTTATTTACATTACTTCAGAACCATAGGGGCCACATTTATAGGGAAGAGAGTTCAAGAAGTCTTCAAGAAAAAAGGGGGAGTAAAAGTGGGGTCATCATGGAAGACTTTCTAAGGAAAATACTGAGAAGGACTTGCACTGATATCACTGATTATTCCACAAGCTGCCTGCCCCTAATAGGCTTCTGGAAAAAGGTCCAAGTGTCTGAGAAAAGGGTCAGTGTTTGATAATACTTATTCTTTACTCCCAATTTTTAATGGCTTTCTGTTATCTCAAAGATAAAATTCAAATCACTTAGTCTGCATTGACGACACTCTTTAACTTAAGCAAAATGACCATTCTCATCCCATCTCAGAGCACCGTGACAGGTAGTCATCCTATAACAACCTCCGTCTCTCATTAGCAGAGATTACCCACCCCATTAAGACTACTTGGGCTTCTTCTTTCTCCCTATTTTTAACATTTCTGCTCCTCATTTGAGGCCAACGTCGAGCCGTACATCTGTGAAACTCTTTTCTCTGAACATCTCTAGAACGTGTCTATATTCCGCCACGTAAACCAAACAGTTTTACAGTCAGGATGACTGTACAATTGATCATCCAAAACACAGATACTTTTGTGAGTAAAATGAAGCCGTTTTACTGATTTTATCAGGGACAGCAGGTGTAAACCAGAACTGTGCTGGGCAAACCATGATAAGTGGTCCCTGATTATAATGCTTTTTAACCCTCCTGGGGAAATTTTTAAAGTCTTCCAAGTCAGAACCCTGTACCTTAAATTCTTCTATTATCTATAATAGGAGTTGATAAATACTGATAGAGGGTTCAACTGATAATGTGTTAATGTTCAGAACCACTAGATTAGGTATTATTTCTGTCATCATTGACCTTTACATGCAAAAAATCAAGTTTGAAAAAAATACATAGTCCTCTAATACAAGAAAGAACAAAACATTGAACCATGGCACAGAAAAAGTCTTCAAACAGCCATCCTACATCTTGTTCCAAAATTAATGGAAAACTAACAGATGTGAAAAGCCAGTAAGGGGAAATTTGAATCATTTTTTGTTTGTTTCAAGTTTTATGTGGGGTTTTCTTGACCCGGTTGCATTTCCACAGGAATGTGGGCAGCCTCAGTGGTTACAATAAACTTTCATGTCAGGCCAACAGATACAAATATATGATACTGTGGTTCTAAATGTTGTTCCCCTCTGGGGCTTGGGCCCCTGGATTAGTCAGTAGTGTCTAGAGTGTGCCATCTGAGCACATTTCCACTCCATGTCTCGGGAGATATTTCCAAGTTCTAAACAAAGCAAGTCTGGACTTTTCCCCATGATGGTGAAATTGTTGATTTATGCTAAATCACAGTGCAACGTCTTACTGAGCCCCAGTGCCCCCCTTCTGCACACTGATAGTGCTTTCTACAGGGGCACCACTGGTCCTGGTATCAATTAGCCAAGCACCACCATTTCCCACAGGGCACAGCTCTCAGATGCCAAAGTCAATCAACTTTGTCTGCTGTGAAGAGCAGACAGAAACTTCTCCTGCCTCCTTTGGGTTATGTTCTATTAGAGCAAATGATATTTCAGGTGGTTTTAATTTTTTTTCCTCCCACTAACAAAGCACCCAACTTCACCCACTCTGGACTCTGACAGGAGTTCATTGCAGATCCAGGCCACATACAAAACTGGGAGGAAGATACCATACTCCAGTTGGAAACATCCCTCCCTTCTATCACCTAAGAATTTATTACTGAGTCAAGCTCTTTCTTCAGGATAGATCAGTTCCGCACCAGGTAGAATTGCCAGATAAAATACAAGTATTTCATCAGACATACTAAAAAATTGCCCTGTGTTAGTCTTTTTATCTGAAATGCAAATTTAACTATGTATATCTGCTAATTCTAATAAGCTTACTCCTAGGTAGCTTCTCTGTTCCTCGCAAAAATTGCCTTTTGGTGGATCTATCTGAGATTTAAGCCAAAAGTCCAACTATATTTAGTTACAGCAATGCAAATATTTGTACAATTTCCTTGTCAGTAGATCAACTAATATAAAGGGGGCTGCCTGGAAGTATGAAGATGAAATAAAGCAGTCATGTGGAAGCAGTCTTTCACCCACTTTTCTGTTCAAAGACATGAACAGAAACTTAAAATAAAGATAGTCTAACGGCCAATGAACACATGAAAAAATGTTCAACATCTCTAATCATCAGAGAAATGCAAATTGAACTACAATGCAGTATCACCTAACTTCAGTGAGAATGGCTCTTATCAAAAATCCCAAAACTTTTTATTGATAGGACTGACTGCAAAGTAGTACAAACTCTAAGGAAAGTAGTATGAAGATATTTCAAAGAACTAACAGTAGACCTACCATTTGATTCAGCAATCTCACTATTAGGTATTTACCCAAAGGAAAAGAAGAGAGCCAGGTGCAGTGGCTGATGCCCATAATCCTAGCAATCTGGGAGGCTGAGGCAGGTGGATTGGCTGAGCTCAGGAATTCCAGACCAGCCTGAGCAAGAGCAAGACCCCGTCTCTAAAAACTAGCCAGGCATTGTGGTGGGTGCCTATAGTCCCAGCTACTGGTGTGGCTTGAGCTCAAGAGTTTGAGGTTGTTGATGCCATGGCACTCTACCCAGTGTGACAAAGTATTTTTCTCAAAAACGTTTTTCTCAAAAAAAAGAAAAAACCAAAAACAAAAGATGTGGAAACAACTCAAGTGCCCATCGATACATGAGTGGATTAATAAAATGTGGTATACAGGCGTGTAGACCATGGAGTACTACTTGGCCATAAAAGAACATTTTGATCTAGTATCTTTTGTAACAACCTGGATGGAATTGGAGACCATTCTTCTAAGTGAAGTATCACAAGAATGGAAAAACAAATACCGCATATACTCGACACCAAGTTTGAACCAGTCTATCAAAACTTATGTGCACATATAGAAGTAAAACTCAACTGGAATCAACTAGGTAAGAGGAGTTTGGTAAATTCACACCCATTGGGTACAATGCACACATTCTGGGTGAAAGGCACACTTATAACTTTGACCTGAAATGTGCAAAAGTAAATTATGTAACCAAAATGTGTGCATCCCTCTAATATTCTGAAAATTTAAAAAAATAAAGAAATAAAACAGTCAGATAGGGAAGCCAGGTCGGGAAGGAAATCACTTTTATCCTAAAGGAATTGACCACTAATGTCTCAAGTGACCATTTCCTGTCATCATTCACTGAGTAGCAAAATATAGTATACTCCTGCACCCCTAAAGGAGTCTGAGACTGGGGTGAGAAAATATAACGATGAAGCCAGGACAATGTCCTGTAAACAGACGGACAAAAGGAAGGATAGACTGACAGTATCAAATGCTGTAGGCTGGCCAAGAGAGATGATTGCCATTGTTTTGGCAGTGAGGAGGTCAATGTTGAGCTGAGCAGTTTGGGTGGAGTGACTGGATCGAAAGCCTGAATGGATTATGTACAAAAGAAACTGGAAGGAGGAGGCCTTGGACAGAAATCCCACGTAACTAGTCTGAGGAGTTTATCTGTAAAAAGGAGTGGAGAAGTGAGATGACAGCTAGAAGTGGATTCTTTAAACTGGTGGGGGAAGAATAAAGCACAGTCTTTTTGTCGGATTATGGTCTGATCTTGCAGAAGGGAGGGACATGGTAGAAGAAAATTAAGGAGAGAGGAGAACTGCTAGAGCAATGGCCTTGAATTTGCAAGAACTGATGATAGAGCCTAACTGTAAGAGTTGTCCTTGGATAGAAGCACAGACAGATAGTAATGAGCAGAATTGCAAGGATATGGGACAAACACTTCCTAGACAAGGCGGTGGGAGTTTGTGATGAGAAGTGGAACATCTATAACGTTAGATATGCTAATTCAGTAATATATCTCATTTCTCCATTTGTTTTTAAATTTCAGATTAATAGGAGGGTACCCATGTTTAGCTTACATTGTTTTCATTTCCAAGGTGAAGTTCAAGTTGTAGTTGAGCCCTTCACCCAGAGGGCATGCTGAACACCCTCCCCTTGTGTACATTAGGTGAGATCCCGCCAATTGCCTTCCCTCCTCCCCCTTCCCGTCTCATTTCTTTTCTCTCCCTCTTCTTTTTCCTTAAGGACCTTACTAATGTTTGTTTTTCAGTTTCTTCTCTTTTTTATTTCCAGTGGAAAGCACAAATGCAGTTCCCCGCTGTGACAAATTATGCAGTCGAGCTTCCCACAATTGGGGACATCGCAAGGGGTCAGCACATCTGGAGTGCAATGGGTAAGCCTCGCCCTGAGAAAACCACCTTCACGATCGTGGTATCTCCCCTGCCAGGTAAGTATGTTGTTTTTTAGTTTCTTCACATGTCCTACAAATTTCTTAAGTTTATTTCTATGTATCCTCTACTGTTTTTTTTTTTAAATTATTAAAGTGAATAGGATTTTCTCCTTTGTTTTCTTAATTAATTTTTTTTTTAGAGACAGAGTCTCACTTTATCACCCTGGGTAGAGTCCTGTGGCGTCACAGCTCACAGCAACCTCCTGCTCTTGGGCTTAGGTGATTCTCTTGCCTTAGCCTCCTGGGTAGCTGGGACTACAGGCGTCCACCTCAACGCCTGGCTATTTTTTGTTGCAGTTTGACTAGGGCCGAGTTTGAACCCACCACCCTCGGTATATGGGGCTGGTGCCCTACCCACTGAGCCACAGACACTGCCCTTCCCTTTGTTTTTAAGCTAGTAGTTTCTGGTAAATTGAGAAGATATTTATTTTGGGCATTCTCTTTGTTGTTAAGCTTGCCTTTCCTTGACTTTGTAGTACCTCTGAGCTCACCTAGGGAAGCAGCACAGGATAGCTTTCTCTACTTTGAGCTAATATGCATCCATGTCTGTATCTTAATAACTGCATGACCTTGAACCAGTTAGCTAACTTTGCTGTGCCTCACAGCTCACCTAGGAAAGCAGCACAAAGCTTTTTCTACTTTGAGCTAAGATACAACCATGTCTGTATCTGCATGACCTGGAACTAATTAGTTACCTGGTTCTGAACTTCAATTTCTTTTTTTTCAGTTTTTGGCTAGGGCTGGGTTTGAACCCATCACCTCCAGTATATGGGGACAGCACCCTACTCCTTTGAGCCACAGGTGCCGCCCTGAACTTCAATTTCTTTACCTGTGAAAAAGGGATCATAAAACTGACTTCATGGGTTTGTTAGAATAATTAAATGGAATAATATGTGCTAAACAATTACTAAGTCCCAGTCTCTGACATTATGCACATAATAAATGCTCAATAAGTGACTATTGAATAAATACTGTCAACAGAGAGCCGTAATCCCCTTGCATTTTTTCAAGAAAAGAAGATAATATAATACAATATTAGATAAAGGTTACAGAACAACTTTTGGTCTGAAATCTGGTGTCATGAGTGAACAAACTCAGAAGAGCAAGGAGGCCTACATGATGGAGGTGGCTGCACAGATGGACTAATTCCAGGGAACCCAGAACCATCATACCTACTGCCCAGCCCTTGACTCACAGCATCTGAAATGAAGTCGAGAGCCTGCTGTTGGGCCAGACAATGTTCTACCCTTGGGTTCCGTTAGAAGATACAATTACATTCAGACACTAAAACTTTCATACGAGCTAGTTTTAAAAATAACTTTTTCTTTGTAGAGATAAGATCCAAGGACATGAAACCCCTTGTGCCTATGGGGGAAGAAGACACCAAAAAAAAAAATGGAACAGGGAGGTTCTAAAGATGAATTCAACTTATGCGCCATTTTCCCTAGTAGTTGCTCTGGGAAAGTGAACCCATTCGCAAATGATGAACTCTCATTTTCAATTCAGGGTATTTCCTATTAGTCAGTTATCATCACGGCTTATAAATACATCCATTGTACATTTTCTGAGCATACTGCAATTCTCTGGAGGCTGCTTGGTCCTTGACAAGTTTATGAATTTGACCATTTTAGGAACAAAAGGTCAAGAGCCATGAGACTGGAAGGAAAGCGCTAACACCAGGTGTTTTACTGTGTTAGTCACTGGAGACTTATAGTCTGATTACTATGGAAAGCGTGTTCTTAAAACAAATCTTGTTTGAGAATTGTCTTTTCATTGTCTAGACCAGCCTAGGTGATTTTCTTGTCATTGATACAGTTTTGGAAACAGTTAATCCTGGGCACCCCAGTGGACCTGGAAGTAAAAAGGGGCTTCAAATTTTATGTCCAGAACAGGAAGCAACTCTGCAAGATTATTATTATTTTGTAGAGACAGAGTCTCACTTTATCACCCTGGGTAGAGTGCTATGGTGTCACACAGCTAGCTCACAGCAGCCTCCAACTCCTGGACTTAGGCGATTCTCTTGCCTCAGCCATCCGAGAAGCTGAGACTACAGGTGCCCGCCACAACACTTGGCTATTTTTTTGTTGCAGTTTGGCCAGGGCAGGGTTTAAACCCGTCACCCTTGGTATATGGGGCCGGTACCCTACCCACTGAGCCACAGGCACTGCCCAAACTTTGCAAGATTATTAACCACAGCCACTGTAACACCAAAAATGTTCTAGAGTAGAAACATGACAATATCAAGGATCACTTCCTAATATTCTAAGCAACCAACTGCACTCAATTTTCCAGGGACTCTTCTGGTATCTTACTTTTTTTTTCATGTCTCGCCAACATTAAAGTAGAATAAAAATCTAAAGCTTCTTACCTCCCATACTGTTTCATTTCTGCTACCAGTACCCTCAGCCAATTACAAATCATCCTTCATCCACCCATCCAGCCATTCAGCCAGTAAGAATTGAGGACATACTTATGAGCATAGTTTAATGCTAGGTGATGTAGAAGTACAAAGGAACAATAATTACCATCTCTGAACTCAAACTGTTTTCATGGCCCATAAAAAGACAAGACATGCCAAGACCCTACATCTCGTTTCCTTTCATAGAAAAATGTGTCTAAAGAATCTCCTCTACTTACAGGTTACATTTCCTCATTTTTCATTATCTTCTGTGCTTAACTTGACTTTTGTCTCACTGGTCTACTCAAAGTGATCATCTAAAACCAAATGGTCACTTTTCTGTCCTTTTATTATTTGCCCTCCTATTTTCTTACCTTCTGTGATGCTACATCTTCCTGGCTTTCCTCCCCCTCCTCACTGGCTGGTCAGTCTCAGTCACCTTCGCTAGTTCCTTATCCTCTGATAACCATTTACATGCATCCTAGAGTCCTAGGCCTTCTTTACCTCTTTATGTCCACCTATTCTGAATATCTCATCAACTCCTGTGGCTCTAAATACCATGCATATGCCAATGATCAAATTAATTTCTCTATGAGCTTGACTCAATTGAAATCTCCACCTGGATATAGATCTAATAGGCCTCTCACAATTAATTTGGTAAAATGAAGCCTGTGATTCTTATTCTCCCACCCAACCTCCTTTATCTCAATTCATAGCACTCATTCATTCAGTGGCTGAGGCACAAACCTAGGCACCATTATTAATTTCTTTCCTTTGTAAAATTCTCATACACATCTGTGATCCATAAACCAATGCAAATAGCTTTACTTCCAAACTAGATCTTAAACATGGGCCACTTTTATTTATTCCCACTGCTACAATCCTCGTCCAAGCTACCATTTTCTCTTGTCTAGGCTACAAAAATAGCCTCTAATTCATTTTACTCCTGTCTCATCATAGTTAATTCTCCAGAAATATCTTTTGGAAATAAAATTCCTCCAACCCTAGCTTAAAAGCTCCAGGGGTATTCAAATGTTCTTAGAACAAAATATACTTTCCTTATCTTGACCTATAAGGGACTATACTATCTGGCTCTGCTTACAATTCCAGGCTCAGCATTTCCCCCCTCCTTGCTCACTACACTGCAGAAATACTGGACTTTTTGTTCCTTGAAAAGGCCAAGCTTACTCTCACCCAAAGGCATTTGCACCTTGTAATTCATTCCAAAAGTTCTCTCCCTACATCTTGGCACAATTAGCTTCTTAATATCCTTCGTGTCTCACCTCAAATGTGGTCACCTCGTCAGAGAGACCTTCTCTAACCGTGCCAGGTTAAGTAGCCTTCTTTCCCTCCCCTAGTCCCTGTCCATTATCTTGTTCCATCTTCTTCACAGCAGGTACTATTTTCCAAAATCATCTTTTTCAATGACTTGTTTACTTATGTATTGTCTCCTTTCCTCTCTCTGGAATGTCAGTTTTGTGAGATGTGGGGTTTTTTTTTTTTATCCTATTCTCTATTTAGAATGGTGTGCTGCACAAAAAGGCTCATGATAATTTGTTGAATGAATGAATGAAACACTCTTTAGTGGCTCCACATTACTTTCAGGATAAGTCCAAGGTACTTTATAGTGTTTGCAAGCTGGTCTCCTCTGCTTTCTCTAGTCTTATCTTTCCCTACCAGATCCTCCCTGAACTCTACTTGACTTTGAAGATGTACTGTCACTATTTACCACTTCAGGTGCATATACTGTTCTTCTCCTTGAGAGGAGCTTTCCTCTCTGTATCTATCTCTGTCTTGCTAATTTCTACTTACCTTTTAAGTCTTAGCTTGGACTTTACTTTCTCTGTGGACTCTATAGTGGTTGATAATCTTGTCAAACTGCTTCCTATCAGCTCCAAAAGCTTGGAGTACTCATTTCTAAAGTTCAGAGGTTTCCTTGTCTTCTTGGAATAGGATGTTTCCATAAATATCAATACCAAGAAAAATGTCGGTGGTTTTGACTGAGACAATGGTGTGACAATTATTAATAAAAGCTTACTTTAAACTATCACCATAGCAATCAGAAAATAGTTATAATGACTAATATAGTAATAAAAATTAAAAAGATTGGGTTAAACAAGGTGTTTCCTATGCAAACTGATGGCTTTTGGTTCCACATCCTTCTGCCCTTGAACCTCTGGCTCTTCACTGCATGTTTCCTAAAAAATTATTATGTTCAGGAATTGGTCTCTAATCACCAAATTGCATGAACAAATTTCTAAGTCAAAGTTATATATCTGATTAACTTAAACTGGATGATATTCTTGAACTTGAGAATGGGAGTCTGTTGTCTGTAAAAGGCAGTCCTTTTTTTCAGGGCAAACAACATTATCATCTTTACAAGTTCGTGCTGATCTTCCAAACATCTCTCCTGAATGTCTAGACTGGATTAAGTTCCTCTTGCTCTGTGCACTAATACGTCTATCACAAAATATACTACATTAGAAGAATTTTTCTACTTGTAGATTAGCAAATAAAATCTCAAACATGATTATAATCTAAAATAATCTTTTTCTAATTCGACCTTTAATAAATTTTTGCTGAATGAACAAGTCATTGCAGAGAATT